TGTTACGTTTCGAATGGTGTAGGTCACCTCAATTCACTCCGACATCACTAATTCACTTATTTTTTAAACCAGTGCCTAGTGTAATATCAGCGTCTTCGGCCTGGTACGGGCGTAATTTGGCTCCAAAACCGGTGAAACTTGCGGCTTTGAAATTTCATTCTGTTACGTTTCGAATGGTGTAGGTCACGTCAATTCACTCCGACATCACTAATTCACTTATTTTTTAAACCAGTGCCTAGTGTAATATCAGCGTCTTCGGCCTGGTACGGGCGTAATTTGGCTCCAAAACCGGTGAAACTTGCGGCTTTGAAATTTCATTTTGTTATGTTTTGAATGGTGTAGGTCACGTCAATTCACTCCGACATCACTAATTCACTTTTTTTTAAACCGGTGCCTAGTGTAATATCAGCGTGTTCGGCCTGCTACGGGCGTAATTTGGCTCCAAAACCGGTGAAACTTGCGGCTTTGAAATTTCATTCTGTTACGTTTCGAATGGTGTAGGTCACGTCAATTCACTCCGACATCACTAATTCACTTTTTTTTTAAACCGGTGCCTAGTGTTATATCAGCGTCTTCGGGCTGGTACGGGCGTAATTTGGCTCCAAAACCGGTGAAACTTGCGGCTTTGAAATTTCGTTTTGCTATGTTTTGAATGGTGTAGGTCACCTCAATTCACTCCGACATCACTAATTCACTTTTTTTAAACCGGTGCCTGGTGTAATATCAGCGTGTTCGGCCTGCTACGGGCGCAATTTGGCTCCAAAACCAGCAAAACTTGCGGCTTTGAAATTTCATTCTGTTACGTTTCGAATGGTGTAGGTCACGTCAATTCACTCCGACATCACTAATTCACTTTTTTTTAAACCGGTGCCTAGTGTAATATCAGCGTCTTCGGCCTGGTACGGGCGTAATTTGGCTCCAAAACCGGTGAAACTTGCGGCTTTGAAATTTCATTTTGTTATGTTTCGAATGGTGTAGGTCACGTCAATTCACTCCGACATCACTAATTCACTTATTTTTTAAACGGGTGCCTAGTGTAATATCAGCGTGTTCGGCCTGGTACGGGCGTAATTTGGCTCCAAAACCGGCGAAACTTGCGGCTTTGAAATTTCATTCTGTTACGTTTCGAATGGCGTAGGTCACGTCAATTCACTCCGACATCACTAATTCACTTTTTTTTAAACCGGTGCCTAGTGTAATATCAGCGTCTTCGGCCTGGTACGGGCGTAATTTGGCTCCAAAACCGGTGAAACTTGCGGCTTTGAAATTTCATTTTGTTATGTTTCGAATGGTGTAGGTCACGTCAATTCACTCCGACATCACTAATTCACTTATTTTTTAAACGGGTGCCTAGTGTAATATCAGCGTGTTCGGCCTGCTACGGGCGCAATTTGGCTCCAAAACCAGCAAAACTTGCGGCTTTGAAATTTCATTCTGTTACGTTTCGAATGGTGTAGGTCACGTCAATTCACTCCGACATCACTAATTCACTTTTTTTTAAACCGGTGCCTAGTGTAATATCAGCGTCTTCGGCCTGGTACGGGCGTAATTTGGCTCCAAAACCGGTGAAACTTGCGGCTTTGAAATTTCATTTTGCTATGTTTTGAATGGTGTAGGTCACCTCAATTCACTCCGACATCACTAATTCACTTTTTTTTAAACCGGTGCCTGGTGTAATATCAGCGTGTTCGGCCTGCTACGGGCGCAATTTGGCTCCAAAACCAGCAAAACTTGCGGCTTTGAAATTTCATTCTGTTACGTTTCGAATGGTGTAGGTCACGTCAATTCACTCCGACATCACTAATTCACTTATTTTTTAAACCGGTGCCTAGTGTAATATCAGCGTCTTCGGCCTGGTACGGGCGTAATTTGGCTCCAAAACCGGTGAAACTTGCGGCTTTGAAATTTCATTTTGTTATGTTTCGAATGGTGTAGGTCACGTCAATTCACTCCGACATCACTAATTCACTTTTTTTTTAAACGGGTGCCTAGTGTAATATCAGCGTCTTCGGCCTGCTACGGCCGCAATTTGGCTCCAAAACCAGCAAAACTTGCGGCTTTGAAATTTCATTTTGTTATGTTTCGAATGGTGTAGGTCACCTCAATTCACTCCGACATCACTAATTCACTTTTTTTTAAACCGGTGCCTAGTGTAATATCAGCGTCTTCGGCCTGGTACGGGCGTAATTTGGCTCCAAAACCGGTGAAACTTGCGGCTTTGAAATTTCATTTTGCTATGTTTTGAATGGTGTAGGTCACGTCAATTCACTCCGACATCACTAATTCACTTTTTTTTTAAACGGGTGCCTAGTGTAATATCAGCGTCTTCGGCCTGCTACGGCCGCAATTTGGCTCCAAAACCAGCAAAACTTGCGGCTTTGAAATTTCATTTTGTTATGTTTCGAATGGTGTAGGTCACCTCAATTCACTCCGACATCACTAATTCACTTTTTTTTAAACCGGTGCCTAGTGTAATATCAGCGTCTTCGGCCTGGTACGGGCGTAATTTGGCTCCAAAACCGGTGAAACTTGCGGCTTTGAAATTTCATTTTGCTATGTTTTGAATGGTGTAGGTCACCTCAATTCACTCCGACATCACTAATTCACTTTTTTTTTAAACCGGTGCCTGGTGTAATATCAGCGTGTTCGGCCTGCTACGGGCGCAATTTGGCTCCAAAACCAGCAAAACTTGCGGCTTTGAAATTTCATTCTGTTACGTTTCGAATGGTGTAGGTCACCTCAATTCACTCCGACATCACTAATTCACTTATTTTTTAAACCAGTGCCTAGTGTAATATCAGCGTCTTCGGCCTGGTACGGGCGTAATTTGGCTCCAAAACCGGTGAAACTTGCGGCTTTGAAATTTCATTCTGTTACGTTTCGAATGGTGTAGGTCACGTCAATTCACTCCGACATCACTAATTCACTTATTTTTTAAACCAGTGCCTAGTGTAATATCAGCGTCTTCGGCCTGGTACGGGCGTAATTTGGCTCCAAAACCGGTGAAACTTGCGGCTTTGAAATTTCATTTTGTTATGTTTTGAATGGTGTAGGTCACGTCAATTCACTCCGACATCACTAATTCACTTTTTTTTAAACCGGTGCCTAGTGTAATATCAGCGTGTTCGGCCTGCTACGGGCGCAATTTGGCTCCAAAACCGGCGAAACTTGCGGCTTTGAAATTTCATTCTGTTACGTTTCGAATGGTGTAGGTCACGTCAATTCACTCCGACATCACTAATTCACTTTTTTTTTAAACCGGTGCCTAGTGTAATATCAGCGTCTTCGGCCTGCTACGGGCGCAATTTGGCTCCAAAACCACCAAAACTTGCGGCTTTGAAATTTCATTTTGTTATGTTTCGAATGGTGTAGGTCACGTCAATTCACTCCGACATCACTAATTCACTTTTTTTTAAACGGGTGCCTAGTGTAATATCAGCGTCTTCGGCCTACTACGGGCGCAATTTGGCTCCAAAACCGGTGAAACTTGCGGCTATGAAATTTCATTTTGTTATGTTTCGAATGGTGTAGGTCACGTCAATTCACTCCGACATCACTAATTCACTTATTTTTTAAACGAGTGCCTGGTGTAATATCAGCGTGTTCGGCCTGCTACGGGCGCAATTTGGCTCCAAAACCAGCAAAACTTGCGGCTTTGAAATTTCATTCTGTTACGTTTCGAATGGTGTAGGTCACCTCAATTCACTCCGACATCACTAATTCACTTATTTTTTAAACCAGTGCCTAGTGTAATATCAGCGTCTTCGGCCTGGTACGGGCGTAATTTGGCTCCAAAACCGGTGAAACTTGCGGCTTTGAAATTTCATTCTGTTACGTTTCGAATGGTGTAGGTCACGTCAATTCACTCCGACATCACTAATTCACTTATTTTTTAAACCAGTGCCTAGTGTAATATCAGCGTCTTCGGCCTGGTACGGGCGTAATTTGGCTCCAAAACCGGTGAAACTTGCGGCTTTGAAATTTCATTTTGTTATGTTTTGAATGGTGTAGGTCACGTCAATTCACTCCGACATCACTAATTCATTTTTTTTAAACCGGTGCCTAGTGTAATATCAGCGTCTTCGGCCTACTACGGCCGCAATTTGGCTCCAAAACCACCAAAACTTGCGGCTTTGAAATTTCATTCTGTTACGTTTCGAATGGTGTAGGTCACGTCAATTCACTCCGACATCACTAATTCACTTTTTTTTAAACGGGTGCCTAGTGTAATATCAGCGTGTTCGGCCTGCTACGGGCGCAATTTGGCTCCAAAACCGGCGAAACTTGCGGCTTTGAAATTTCATTCTGTTACGTTTCGAATGGTGTAGGTCACGTCAATTCACTCCGACATCACTAATTCACTTTTTTTAAACCGGTGCCTAGTGTAATATCAGCGTGTTCGGCCTGCTACGGGCGCAATTTGGCTCCAAAACCAGCAAAACTTGCGGCTTTGAAATTTCATTCTGTTACGTTTCGAATGGTGTAGGTCACGTCAATTCACTCCGACATCACTAATTCACTTTTTTTAAACCGGTGCCTAGTGTAATATCAGCGTGTTCGGCCTGCTACGGGCGCAATTTGGCTCCAAAACCAGCAAAACTTGCGGCTTTGAAATTTCATTCTGTTACGTTTCGAATGGTGTAGGTCACGTCAATTCACTCCGACATCACTAATTCACTTTTTTTTTAACCGGTGCCTAGTGTAATATCAGCGTCTTCGGCCTGGTACGGGCGTAATTTGGCTCCAAAACCGGTGAAACTTGCGGCTTTGAAATTTCATTTTGCTATGTTTTGAATGGTGTAGGTCACCTCAATTCACTCCGACATCACTAATTCACTTTTTTTTTAAACCGGTGCCTAGTGTAATATCAGCGTGTTCGGCCTGCTACGGGCGCAATTTGGCTCCAAAAAGGGCCAAACTTGCCGTTTTGAAGTAACCCCAAGGATTCATTCAAAATAAAGATAAAACAATAAGCTTTACTCTTTGATACATAGTTACAATTAAAGCCATTCGACGGAATGAAAGTCTAGGGTATTTGGGGCCGATTCCTGGATCAGGCTGGTCCGAATGTCCGGAGGTTTGACTGACTTGGCGTTACAATTTACAAGAGGTGATTCGGGTTGAAATTTGGTGGTCGGAGAGCTGGGATCGAACAGTTTCGGCTGTAGAGGCGTTGAGTTTTGGCTGAAATGAGTAATTGTTAAACAGGGGACATTTTATACGATGAAAATATTTTGGCGATGTCGGTGGCAAAATTTGTTAAGTAGGGGCCGGGAGAGGTCCTATCGGTCATAATGTCAATTTTTACTGGGGTGACATGTTATACGATCAAAAATATCTGAGGTTTTGGGAATTTTTATACTTTTCATGATGATAAAGTCAGTTTCAAATCCGACAAAAATGTTGTTTCTCTGTCACTATTTTTTTTGAATCATGTGACATCTTATACGATCAAAATTTCCTAACTTTTCCATATTTTTTATGTTATCCATCCCGCTTACCTTGGATTCAAAGGTCCAATATAGATGTCGTTCATGAACATCCCACAATCTGGCACTGTCCTTGCAGTATCCAGTTTGATCGTCTGATCAGTCAACGGATCGGTACGTCGTCGTTCACTCGTCGCTCTCCTCACCGAACAAAATGGAGTCTGAGAATTGCCCGAAACATCCGACGCATCTGATGGCAGCTCAAAGAAGGGAGCTTCAGCACTCAACAAATTGGCCTTCGGATTGACTGTGAGGTATCTCCCGGATTTTAAAGGAGAGCAATTGCCAGTGGAAGCGCAGCGAGGTGAGGTTAGAGGGGTCGAAAGATGAGAATGATCGTCCTTTAGCCGTGTCGTGTCGGGGAGCGATTCTAGGCAGGTGGTGGATCTGAAAAGGGGAATTTTAGATGGGAATTGGAGTTATGGGAGATGAAAGATTGTCAGGGTAAATTAAAAATATTTTTTTTTGGTACAAGCATGCCTGTGACAAGCAGTTTTCCATTAACAACATTTTTAGAGCTTTCAAGAAAAATAAGGCCTGGAGATTTCCCAAATTAGGAATATATGCCCTCTACATACCTCATACCTTGTTTAGAAAATTTTAGCTGGCATGGTTGCAGAATTTTCCAAGCAAAAAAATAAGGTATATAAACTGAAGAGAGACCGGTAAAAAACATAGACGATATCTTTGTCACAATTTTTTTGCAAAAACATGAATTGATTTGCAAAATACGAATACGTGTAACTGATCTCCGATTTTTGAAGCCTTTATAAATGAAATTTTTTAGTCCAAAAAAACTTCTCGCTTTGATTTTTACCCCGAAACAAAAACTCACCTCGATCGAATCCTCTTCGACTTGAACGGTGACAATTTCAGCAGCGAATGCGACGGATCCAACCCATTTGCTTTCAAATACACCCCCATACTCTGAATATTCCTCCAAATCGGGGTACCCGTCCCGAAACTCAGATTCCCATGCCCATTTTCGATTGGCGTGGAAGTCAACGCACTCCGTGTGCCCTGCGGCAATTTGTGGGAGTGCCGTAGATTCTTGTTCAAGAACGCGTAGAACAGCCAGTTGAATGCGCTTTGAGTGTAGGGAAGGGCATGAACCAGGTACATCAACAGCATCATGTGGCGGAAATCCGTGAATTCATTCATCTCCGCGTCATCCGCATATGGAATCATCAACTTGTCGGTGAGGTTCTGTTGAAGTTTGGGGAGATGCATGGGGCTCTCGGGAAGGTCGAGGTCGAAGGCGGGCTGTGGCTGAAGCTGGGGGTCTGAAAAGTAAAATACGTCAATCGCTGTTATTTCAGGTCTTATTGTTAGAAATTTTGGTGAGAAATAGAAATTCAAATTTCAAGATTTGGAGATTTTTCGGTAAGACTAAAATTTCGTTTTTTATTGTATGTAAAATACGCACACCGCATTTCTTTTGTTTTACAAAGCACAGTCAAATATTAGGTGGGGGACTAAGTTCGCAGAGTTTTTTTACTGCATTGTTTTACAAGGATTGTTTGTTGTTTGGCAGAGGTGTAGCTGGCAGCATAGAGCTCCTTGTTCACCGTGGCGTTCTTCTCAAGCATTTGCCAATGCATCATGCCTTCCCAGGCGCCCAAAATGTAGATCATTGCCTTTTTGGGTGGAGGTCTTGCTTGACTGTGCCCTGGGGCCACCCACTCCAGGAGACAATCAAAACTTTGCTTCGTATTTACGTACAGACACCACTTTTCATCACCGTGATGATTCGATACGAAAAGCGCTATTTCTGCCCACGTTTTGCACGGCGAAAAAAGCAGGTGTCGAAAACGCAAATTTTTGCCTCCTGGATGGTACATTTTTGAGCCCAAAAAAATAATGAAAGATAAAAATTTCAAAAAACATTAAACACACAGTTTTGTAGAGGGGAAAGAGATCTTTCGAATGCATATATGCAATTTGCCAAACACCAAACTGTCGTTGTAAAACAAAGCAATATGTATTATATGTAAAAGTCACTCGTTTTAAACTTTGTATTGTTTTTTTTATTATTTTTTTTTTGTATTCTCTACGTAATTTTTTCCATAATGCTCTCCCAGTTTTCCCCTAGAAACTGCTCAACTCGACATTCTTTGACCACTTTATTCCCATCTTTTCTCTGAACTAACTTCGTTGGGCTCTCGAAGCCAACTTAATTAGCCGCAAAAATAGCCGACATAATAACACGTCCGAAGAACCACTTTTCATTTATTTCATAACTCCCTGAGGGGTTTCCAGACGTGCTCTGAACCTTCATTCTCATAAATAATAAATTTGCATTTTTTTTTTTTTTTGATAATTTTTTGAGGTCAAATTTTCAATTTCCTTGAACTGTGAGTCCAATTTTTGACATTTTTAATTGAACTTCCAATTTGACGACAAAAATGACGTTAAAAAATGGCCGTAGAACCGAGGACGGACTTTTATTTACTGTTACAAGCACTTTTCAAGGAAATATCAAATTAATTTTTTTTGTGTCTGTACTGTCTGGATTAAATTTGTGTGGAGAAAAGACATTGTTAACTAAAATTGAATTAATTTTCTTTTATTTTTAAGATTTTTAGATCTTTAAAAATCCCTGTGGCTCATTCGAAAAATAAATATGCAAGTCAGTGCCACGAGAAATCCTCCAGGGCATCGTTAGAAAGGGTTTTTTGGAGAACGGTTTGGAACGGATGGAATGATGAATGGACACCATTTTATGGGATTCGGAAAGGCCGATTAAAATGGGCAGAGGTCAGTTTTGCAGTGCAAAAGAGATGGTACAGTGTTTTGGACTAAGCTCTATTTTTATGGGGAAAGTTCGTAAAATAAATGGTACTTGAAAATTGAGGGCTACATCATCAAAAAGAAACCACAATTTCGAGCCTTTGAGGTAAATCAAATGGTGCTTACATACTTTTTAAGGGGCTCCCAGAAATCATAAAAAATTTGGCTCAAGATTTGTGTCCTCATCTGTGATTTTCAGCTGTTCTTTTTGCAGACGAACGCGTAAAATGATGAGTTTAGCTCAAACATAACAAAAACCGAGCCTGAATTTAGATTTTCTCGATTTTTTCAACCCAAAAATCACAAAATACGCAAAATTTCTTGCTCATGCTGACCTAAAAATCTTCTTTTTTTTTTGCAGAGCCTCACAGAAAGTCTCGCAAATGTATCACAAATCGTCATAATCGTATCTCTGGCAGAATTTTGTCAAAATCCATACGTCAAAATACCGTACACTTTCTCTGAATTTTTCAAGTTTTTGTATCATTTTTGAAGATGTTTGCTATCCAAAATATGTGAGTTCAATCTCCTAAATTCTCCCCAAACTTTGTGATGTTCATAAATATTTTGCTATTTCCTCGTAGCTTCTGAGAAATTGTTGTATTCATTTGTGTTTTCCTGCCTCAGTTTTCCCTCCACAATAAAAAGATCATATGCTACAATCCTTAGATCACAAGTCTCTACAAACATTCCGCATTCCACTTTCTAACCGTCTCCCCTGTAAATATCTCCCTCAACTATACAAATCCCTCTTTCCTTCCTACAAATCTCCCCTGCCTTCTCGTTTCTTGCTCGTTATCTGATCGCATCATTCCATCAAAATGATTGAAAGCTGTGACCGTTCCCATTGACCACAAACATGTCCCAACATTCCCGAGATTCGAGCCCAACGGAATGGGGGAATTTGAGTAAAGTTTTGAAGAAAAGTATGCGGTCATGTCTCGTAACGAAAGCCATGTGTTCGGCGGGGAGAAAAAAAGTACGATAAAGTTGCTAAACAAGTTTTGTTTATCCCCCCGAGGAGTGCAGAGTACTTGTCGGGAGGGGACGTGTTATTGCTCGTGAAACTTCAAACAACGTGTTGATGCTGTCAGAAGGAGTAGAAATAGCCTCAAATGACATAACGTGACATTAGGAAAGTCGAGGTTGGAGAATACAAACTCCAAATACGTATTTTAAATTAAAAAATAAACTTTTGAAGGCAAAAACTGTGTTTTGCAAGATATTGTAGCTATGACAATAACGCCATTTTAGCTCCACTTACCCTCAGCAAACAACGACAGTATCCTCATTCCCCAGTAGGGTGTCCAACAAATGAAATAGAACGCCACAACCATCACTGAGCATTTCACAACTCGACTTAGGGATATTGTCGTTTTTGAAGCCATTGATGATCTGCGAGTATGCTCGTATAACCGCCTCAGAATTGCTACGTATACGGAGCAGATAAAGAATAACGGCAATACATAGCAAGTAACCGAATGTAGAAGGTCGAACGTCCTTGACATTTGGACCACACATTTTCGGTGTTCGTCGCCTGAAAGGAACAAAAATTTTGTTTTCATGAACGTCTTAAGGCATCATTGCTTTACAGTAAAATAATGACTGTAACATAATCTGACAAAGTCATAAACCCCGTACCTTTAAAGTCAGGGATGACGCTGACTGTCGCATGCGCTGTGACTGGCAGAATAAAAAGAAACGAGATCATTGAGCAAACGAAAATCACCAAACACGCGAATCTCGACCGTCGCATCCACATAAAGGTCGGTCGGCACACCGCTATGTACCGGTCAACACTGAGAGCAGTCAAAATCAACGGCGACAACGATTTGTTGACCGCTTCGCATGCGTACAGCAATTTACATACTGAAAAGATTATTTTTGTTAAAAATGATGACTAAAAAACAAGTCTGAGTTTGAATTAGACCGTAGCAATTGCACTTACCCGAAATCCCATAAGGCCATCGGTTCTCCAAGATGTCCACTGCCAACAGTGGAACCGGCACAAAGGAAATCAGATCAACAACAGAGAGCATTAACAGATATATACATGCCGATGACTGGACTCCAGTGACACTTCGACCCAGCGACTTCTGCCTTCGTATTGGGCAATCTTTGCCTTTTGTGGTGAATACATACGTGCCAAAGAGTTGATTAGATACTGTCATCATAACCCAGAAATTGCCAATTAGTCCGGTCAACGCCAACACGGCATAGAGTATTATTACCGCGTAGTCGGCGAAAAAATTGTCCATAACCGTGTATTCCGTCATGTCGTTACACCATTAGAATTTGAAAGTATATGTGTAAACCGTCAGTTAAATGGCTGTAGATTGTAGTCAGTAAAGTTGAAAGTAGACGTAGTGTCGCTCAGATCCCGGTAATACAGACAATAGAATGCCCTTTTCACCGCAGAAGACCCGTAGTAAATGCTATGTACCCTTCTGCGCGCGATGATAATATGATGACACCAAGCTCGTTGGAAAGACTCAGGCCGTCGAACTCCGCAACCTTGTCCACATGCCAGCCGCCGAACAGTTTCCTTTTTTCTTAATCTGGAAAGCGGGGGATTGCACTCAATAAATCTCGAGAAGTTAATTTTAACCGCGGCCCCGACTTAATTAAGAAAATCTCGTTAAGAATCCAGCAAAATGAAAACCCCAACAAAGCAAACATACAAAATCCCGGCGAAAAGCGAACGTCTGTACGACGACGGTGGCAATTAAGTGTCTAGATGGAAAGCCAGGAGAACACAACGAAGAATGTTTCCCGGAATTCCCCGAAAATGTAGTGTAGACTCTGATCTAGCACCAAATATTTAAGGAGATTGGCCGCAGAACGGCCGGGACATTCAATATTGGACGCAAAAATGTCCAAGTTATCAAGTTTCAAGCGGTTCAAGCAATTTTTAGCTCCACTTGCAAGTTGAAAAAACGTAGATGAAATCATAATAAAGAGTACCATAGGAAAGAAGAACAGAAAAAATCATGATGATTACGATTATATTATCGTGACGAAACGCAAATATTCGTGACTTGGACAAAGCCCATCCCAGATGAATTCAATTTCAAATAGTTGTTTGTGACACTTGCATCACAATCACGTGAAATTTGAGAAACAAAGTTTATTTTTAAGCCACCGGTTAGTTTCAATGAATGGGAGTTAAATTGCGGGTAAAATTTGAGCCCTGCTGTTCGTGCTTCGAATATTGATAAACGAGACGGGAAGCCCAAAAAAATGAGGTAACACCTCACACGGCAAGGTACACAGCGAAAGTGCATAACAAGACCGGATAAACACCGTAGAAACATTCTGATCGCCACGTAAGCGGGATGCAAAATGTATTTCTGGGAAATACTTTATCGTCACCAGATTATATGTTGTTTGCATTCCCCAAAATTATCCAATGGAGAGCTATTAGCAGAGCGTTCGCAGTAATTACAGCCTAATCTGTATGTAAGCAAAGAAAATATTCCCAAGACAGGGAGATACCCTCCTCCTCCATTTTAGTACAACACCCACACGACCAGACAGACATCTACTGTCACATACTGTAATCTTAAGTCCAAACAAGTTCCTCTGCTTGTCACATATTCTCAACCTTTCCTTTTATACTGTAATTAAATTTCTCGTGCGGTTATGTTCATGCTTGTCATATGCACACCCCGCGTCCCCGTTGGTCTCATTTTCCGGCCGGCAGAAAAGGGAGGCGGTTATATAATTAGTGAACAAAAGCTCCCACAAGAAAGAAGGGCAATAATATGTATGAACAGACGTTGCAAAATTTGAGACAACAATTCGATTTTCGCACGAACGGAAAGGATTTTCTAACGGGGACGAGCAGGGGAAAGCCCTAGTTTTTTGCCGGGGTGGAAAATTACGAAACGCTAAATTTAACCGCCATATGGCTTCCGATAATAAATTCGGAACGTAGTCGGCACGAGCCTACATAATCTTCAATTCACGAAATGTAGTCGTGTTACAATAAATTCAATGAATTTTCTCACGCAAAACTGTATTTGGTATCACGCGCAAAACAACTGCCCGTTTCAAGAAAGTGTAACATATGGAGGGCTCTTTGAAACCTACTCGAAAATTCCGACTCTCTTCCCTGTTTGAATAAATAACTGAATATGTAAAAATATTCGATGTTACGTCCGAAATTCGTTCGTATGGGAAAACTATAAAATAGGTCATTTTTAATGCCTTTTTACGCACCTTGCCGCGTGGGCAAAGCTTAAACCAGGCTGTGAAAGATTAAAGAGAAGAATCCCGAAGATCTCCTTAATTAAATAAGGAAATGATGACTATTGCAGGCTAATACTTGCCACATGTCAATTCTATTTCTGCTGACCACCTACGGAAAACGTACAGCAACAAAGTAATGCCCCTGTGAAAAAACGAACAACTGCCAGACCCAGAGGAAGTTCTTTGGAACAGCGTAAAGTCCATAAGAGGAGAGCGCGAAAAACTCGTCTATAAATGACATTTTATGTGGGAGACTTTCAATTTGTGGGGAAAATTTAAAATGGGAACTTCTATACTAAATTTCCCTCTCCGGCGTCTCATTTATAACTACTACAACTATATAGTAGAGAGGGAAAGATACAACAAACAGCTGTTGAGAATAAATAAGGCAGATTTCGCTGCCAGACCAATTATCATTTAGATTTAACCAGTCAGACCAGTTATCATTTAGGGTTGGTTACCACGGAATAGAAGGAAAGGCCATCAAACCGTTCGTCGCTTTTCGTTTGGGGAAAACATCATTTCTCTGACTGTCTGCAGTCACCCCAAACCTGTGATCTTATATCAGTGTGTCGGGAGAATAGTGAGTGCTCGAAAATCGGATCGCCGCCGAGAAAATAAATTGCATCGCAACAAAATAAATTGCTGTTCACTCTAGCGACGCGATTAACGCAACGACATTGCGCTCACTATTTTCCCGACAGACTGACATGCGAAAACAAATTCTCGTTTCAATGCGTAGAAATTAATTTAATTAAACCGAAAACCAAATGAATTTTTTATGGTTGCCTCAAATTTTCAATCTATATCTCGTGCCGAGAGCCAAACATTGCACATCATTCTGGGGATCAATAAATTCTTGGTAAATATAGACTACTCAAACAAATTTAATTCACTGCACGGCCAAAGAACTGTTTTCACTTCACGCGACCGTTCTTGGCCGAAACGGACCCGTACTCAGACGTAATCCCAGCCCAAGACATTCAAGAACATGATAAGTACAAGTCGAAATGAATTACGTATTTGGGAATCTTGAGTGCCGAATGGCATGCCTAATGGAGTTACATTTTTAAACCGTCGGGGAAATGGGCTCACAGTTAATTTCTTTGCACAAACAAAAATAAGACGGGAACCGTGGAAATACGAGAGAACTCTCGGCGGAAAGATGAGAACTTCGGTGAGGGGGTAAAGGTGGAGCGAGGGGATAAACTTTGGCCGTGCAAGCCGAAACGTAGGCATAAATTGGTTAGTCATCGTGTGTTTGTGCAGGTTTCGCTTTTCGAAATGATGTTAGAAGTTGTCGGCCGGGATGGTTGTACGGAATTAGTAATACCGGGGAAAAGGTTTAGGGTTTCTAAGCCTAATATAATCAAAAAAGGGATTCATGGCCCGACTGTGGTCTGTGGGACTGTTGAATTTACAAGCAGACTAAAGGTTGATTCCCAATAGAAAAGCGCGGTAGGCACAAAAGATTTTTAACCCCTCAAAAGTAGCAACCTTATCCTTTATATCGGGAAATTCAAAATTCTCTGCGGCCGATAAAACAAATAGCAACCACCAAAGTTCGTTGTTCTCGAATGCCCCCTCAGGACACAAAGTTGTTCCCATAAGTGGGCAAACATTATCACGGAACTGGCACTACCTATGCATTGGGAACGTCAAAACCCTGGTACTTGATGTTTCCCCTCAACTCGGTTTCGGTTTTCGCTTTTTTTTTGAGGGCGAAACAAAATGGGCGTGGCCCGGGATGGGATTTGCAGGGAGAAGAGGGGAGTTCGAAAATGTGTGGAGGTTCTATAAATGGATTTACAATCTAAATGCATTTGGGGAATTCAACTTGTATGTTCGCGGGGTAAAATACAAATCTGCAGAGAGTTGAGAAGAGCGGAAAAGGTTGTAAAAAATTCCCTACAATGGAAGTTACCTATAGAGCAAAAATTAGCCCTACAAATTATAAATTGGTTTTAAGAATCCTTGGTGTATAATATGGTCTCCACTCGTAAGGCTTCATAAACTTTGGGAAACAATGGGACTTTTCAACTTTTGTTCCCCATTTTTTCTCAGTGGCACTTCCGCGCTATAACAAGATGCAAAAAACAGAGCTCTAATTTCGGCTTTTCTCAAAATCCCGGAGGCGTATATTAATATTGTAGAAAATAAACCTTGCACCTCTCATATCTATTTTTCCTCGTTTCACAGAAACCGGATATTATCATAAAAACAGCCAAGTTTATGCAAACCGCTTTCGTCACCCACCGTTTCCGCCGGATCCGATTACAATCCCAAATATGGCTCCCGTTACACGGTAATCGCGTGACCATTAACATGCATTTGAATAACATTGCGACTTTTGTTTGCAGGATTGTAATAACTAATTACCACTGATTCCGGAAGAAAATAGGAGAAAAATAACCCCATATTTGTTTACTGATAACCGCCGGCGATAAACAAGTTTTCGAATGAAAAACGCGCCTTGACGGATGCACTCTTATTGCCATTTTTGCACATGAAAAACAAGCGTCGATTTCAGGAAATTTTACTGCCGTAATTTGAGCGCGAACGAACGCAATCTCCGGCGACCGTGTCGTTTCTCACAAATTCTACAAAATTGCGGCACGTGGAAGGCTGGTGAAAATTGAGATTTTTTTGTGGTTGGGTTGGGAAAAGGGGAAAATAAAAGAAAATAAAAACTCAGAAAGATCATCTTGACCTTTAGAAGGAGGCGATAGTAGAGTTTGTAGTGTTATAAGGGCTTTGGGGGGAAAAAGTTTAGAACTGGGGGAAATTGGGCAAGAAAAGATGGAGGAAGTCGAAAATACAAATTTTGCAAAAAGAGATAAAATTACATGCTTGTTGCAAGATTGGCAACAAAAAAATTCTAGACGCAAACGACAATTTTATATCGCGTTAAGCGAAATTAAATTTACGATAACGATTTTTAAGTTGAAATTTACCATAACGATTTTTAAGTTGAAATTTGGGGGTTTTTAGTTAAAATTTTCTGATGTCAAAAACTGTTCATAATGGAAAAGCAGGACAAATTGTTTATGGTTTTAAAATACGCCTTGTCCTTCTTCAACAAATTACATACTTATAGAGAAAAACAGTAAAAAACACTTTTGTACGACAAAACCTTCTAAGGAACATTTTCATAGGCAGAAAAAGTCAATTTCAGGCCAAAACAAGTCTCCGTACAGCAAAACTCTTCTATCAGGAATGATTATAAATCTTCTCGGACTAAACAAACTTTTGCGCTCGACCAAAAATCACCAAGAACTTCCCCCAGAGTCCCCATGAATCCCTTCAAATCCCCCTCTTCATAATCGCATTTCCCCTCCGGGCTTCTCATAATAGCCATTCCCCAACATGGACAATATGGTCACTACTTGTACGAGATTCAATTCTTGCGATAAAAAAGAAGAGGCGTCGTATAAAGTCAAGATATAAATAGGCAATCTTATTGGCCGTCTTTTCGGCCCCGAAAATCCCTTTCCATATTTTTTTGCATAATCTTCAGAACTGACCACTGGCCTTTTTTTGTATTGCAAAGCAATTTTTTTACGGCCGCGAGAGAAATGAGAAAAAGCCGTAGGAGATAAATTTAGGAGTTTACGGCAGAAAAATCGTAGTAATAGAATAAATTCTCGGAAATGGTGTTGTTACTAGGCCTTTCGCACAGTTGATGGAGTGATTTTTGCGACATTCACTGTGAGATTTATTCCATTATCGCTTGAACTATGACTTATCTCGCACAGTGCAAGTCACAGAGTCACTATATACTTTTCGAACGGAGTAGAAATCACAGAGGAAGATGTGAAATAATGAAGGTAATTTTGCTGTTATTGACTGGTTATAGAGAACGAAATAGGCATGGTGACGTTTTCTGTCATCTCAAAGATGAACACGGTCAAAAGTAGTTTGAGCCTAATAAAGATAAAAATCGGTAGAGTGGAGCCCCCGCACAATAAAATCTGTCTATAAAGAGCTATCTAGTACTCTCTAAAAGTGAGAAATCGGAGGTTCCAATCCCGCAATCCAAAGAAACTTTGGTCTATCGGCCAACCACGAAAATTAAGGCTTCTAAATTATTTTCACAAATTTGCAGAAATACCAAAAATTTGAAGCTTTCACAAAAAATGAAAAATGAGAAAAAAACAAAGGAAAAATATGAACTGACGTAAACGCTTTAAATCGCTACGTGTTGTGAGAACACCACAAAAACATGAAGATTACACTTCTGTAAGGGGCAAACTAAAGGTTGTTGGATTAAGCACTCTGCACTTCAGTACAATACAAAGGCTTAAATGACAATAGGAGGGGAACCGTCTAGCCTACAAATGAAATACCAAGCTTTTGTTTTGGTCATAAACCAGAAGATGAAATCTAAGAAGTCATCGTAAAAACAATGAATGAGAAACTTCAAAAAGTCAAGATGGTAAAATACGCGGTTTCAAGATGCCCCTTCATACAAAAACAGCCACAACTACATTCAAATCTCTGTACAACGAATCGAAAGTGAACAAAAAATTGGGGGCTAAGGTAGTACAGCCCCCCAGTCCAGTTCAGATCCCCATGCCCCAGTACAGCCCCCCACGTCCATTCCGTACCCCCAAAATTTATTCCCAAGAATTATTCTAATTTGTAAAACGTAAGGGGGCATGATCTAAAACGTAGGGGGCTTGATCTAAAACGTAGGGGGGTTTATCTAAAACGTAGGGGGCTTCATCTAAAACGTAGGGGGCTTCATCTAAAACGTAGGGGGCTTGATCTAAAACGTAGGGGGCTTCATCTAAAACGTAGGGGGCTTCATCTAAAACGTAGGGGGCTTCATCTAAAACGTAGGGGGCTTCATCTAAAACGTAGGGGGCTTCATCTAAAACGTAGGGGGCTTGATCTAAACGTTCTACTACTAAACATTCTAATTCCCTCTTTGCGGCACCGAAACTATAACTGAAGAAGTACATATGCACACTATACCTCGTATTTATCCATAGAACGGCCCCGAGTACGTAATACCATAATGTGCCCACATTTCTCGCAACAAGGGTCTTTGGGCAGACAACCAAGAGCCTGCAGAGCACCAATGAGACCATCAGAAGAGACGAGGTTGGTGATCTGTTCCAAAGTAGAGATTTGTGACATGCCGACCGGTTCCAAGGGGAAGAACAAGAAGAATGAATGAATCGTTTCAGAATTAAGATTTTAATCTCATTTGCACTTTTTTTATTATTCTAATTTTTTCATTATGGGGGTGTGAAATGGGCAAAACAGTGGGGGGCTGAACTACCTTTCGTGGGGGGCTGAACTACCGAAGCCCCAAAAATTGTTATAGAAGGGTTTTATTTTTTATAAAAAAGCGTAGGAAACGTTTTTTTGCCTTACAAGGGATCGGCAAATAGTTGTAACCTGCTTTCTTAACGAAACCTATATCATTTGAAAGAGCATTAAAAATAGTTCACAGCGCAAAAAGAATTAGCTGCCTAAATTCACTTTGGACAAAGTTATGGCCAAAATACAGATTTTAGCCTAATTTCCGCTTCGCTTTATAAGCTCTCGGAATGGCAACAGAGTTGTGTCCAGTTGGCCGAGTGGTAGTGAGCCCACTTCCGGCGCAGCGAGTCCTGGTTTCGAATCCGGTCTCTGTAAATATTTTGCGTTTCGTCTCTTATATGCCACAAAACCATGGTATGTTGACATTTTTTAATAATTTTTGTTCCTCCGCAGACAAAATCCATGGTTACGCAATTTTTCTGAGTTTTTGAATTTTTTTGAAACGACCACAAATTTGATGGTGATGAGAGTGGGTATGTCACTATCGTATATTCCAAGGGTGTTATGCCAGTAGCCTGACCGATTATGATTGCTGGAGGATAATTCAATTTACAAGGGCCTATAAATATACTTTTTTTGAAAAAATACGAAGATAAAATTGTAAAATCGGCCAAAGACACTATTGCTGACACAGTGGACCAACCATTGATAAGGCTAGGACATAAGAAATTTTCGATTTTGAAATTTTCGTTTGTGAATGACCACGACGATCATATAAATCTATTTCCAAAGCTTTTTGCTCCAATTTTCCCTTTAACCTAGTTTTATTTACAATTTACTGTAACCAGCAGTAATGTCTAATAACATACAACCGAGGATTGGTAAAGCCATAAAACGACCGTGATAGACGTTTTTGGATACCAGAAAATTAATAAAGACAATTTCAAACCGCCAGGATTACTGTAATATAAGGAACCGGCGTTTTGGCCGCATATAACCCCTTTCAAAAAGCGGTCGTATCTATGCCCTAAGGTAATTTAGGCAGCTAATTTTTTTGCGCTGTGCACTATTTTTAATGCTCTTTCAAATGATACATGTTTCGTTAAGAAAGCAGGGTGCAACTATTTGCCGATCCCTTGTTAAACTTGAGTCTTCGTACTTCTGAAAATAACTCGTCATAGATGTAGATTTGTTGTACGAGAGTGTTTGTGCAGGCGTTCTACTCTATACAGACCCCTCAAAATCCTTGTAAAGCGTGACTCCCCAACAAAGCTCAGAGGAAAAAACGGAAATGGGCCACTTAATGAAGCTGGATAAGTTTTAGGATTAGCCTGTGGATTATTGGAATTTCAAAACTGTATTGCCACCCAATTCCTGGGAATGGGCCGGGTCTATGACATCTTAGAGAGTCTGTCTGAGCTGTAAAATTTCGGATTGTAGCTCAAAAGTTTAATAAATGTAAAAAACCTGGTCAAAGATTAATTTTGCATTTTTTTTTGATTTTTTGGAAAAAGAAAATTTTAAAAAATCAAAAAAATTGATTTTACTGAACTTACTATAATAAAAAATAGATGTTCCCTCTAAAAATCTCAAAATTTGCTTTTTTTCATCAAAAAATCAACTAAAAACTTCCGGAAATCCACTGAAACCCTAAACCCAAATTTTACTGCTTCGCGAAACTTCGCAGTAATCATAAAACTATACGAAATTAACATTTTTATGATCTCGTCCCCGATCCGTGATCCTCTACCGGCCCCGATTCCCTGAGGCTATAACGTAGAATTGTGTAATAAAAACTTTCTCTCCTCCTCTTCATTTTCGAGAAAAAGCAGAAAAAAATGACGAGCACAAATGTGCCGCTTTGGCCATAAAACGCTCACCTTGAGGCGTTTGGAAAAAAACGAAACGACTTTGGGAGTTTCGATTTTGAAAAAAATTATTTTGCGAAAATATAAACGCGCCCCCGAGTTTTCGGGTTGATGACAGGTCAACACAAAATCAATTGATACGAGTGGTAGGACAGGCGGAGACACAAGGAAAGGTTGTTGGAGGGGCCTAAGGGGACTGGCAAAGCCGTTGAATGAAATGCGGATGATCGGTGAAGACTCGGCGGAGACTTGGCGAAGACTTACCACACTTTTTTTTTTTAATTTTGGCTACTGCTAACCTTGATTTTCTTGACCATGAGTTACTATGTATAACATAAAAAAAGAGCAAAACGCGCTCCAAAAAACAAAAACTGAAAGTTTTTTCTGAATATTATTGCAGTAATACATGTAAAATACCTCAAAATAGGCGATAAACTATAGTAGAACAGGATCAAATTAATTATTTCTACTAACTAGGCCCTCTCCTAGCCTTCAACAATGACCAATTCGACTCAATGTATATTTGACCCAAAACGTCGTAGCACCAAAATACAGAATACTGGGATAAAAGACATTTAAAAAACTGACAAAAGATGAAACATTCCTGTAAACAATTCCAAGACGTTAAAACGTCTTGAAAAAAGTTGCATAAATAATTGACATAAAGCCTCCGGTGTTTACCGATATATCGGTTATTTCATGTTCATTGAACATTCCCAGGACAACCGAGTTAGCCATGTCGTCAAGCACTTTTTACGAGGTAAATAAAAAACTACGGTATGGATTACTTTTACAGGCCTGTAATCGGATGAGGCGTGCGGGAAAAATAAGCTAGTAAAAAGCCCTTTGCTATGTATGGTAAAAGGCCCTAAAAAATAATTTCCGGGTACAATGGAGCGCTGTAAGACAAAGGCCAAAGGGCAAAAGTAAATTGTTCGTTGCTGGTTTGTTGAAAGAAGACTAGAAGACTTATTTGGCCTTCAATCAGCCGTGGGGGCCACTGAAATTGTTTTTTATGGACAGTTTTCGTTGTGCGGGAGCTTGTTGTACAGAGACTGTTTTATACTTCGCATAACCTAAATAATATGTTTATGCAGACTGTCATTTTAATGCCAAAACACAGTCCTTCCTTGGCAAAAATTATCTGACGTCATGCACTTTTGCTTGTAAAAACCCTAAAGCCGTCGGCCCTTGAGAGATGGCATACAATAACATGTCACCCGCATATCACAGAGACAAACAATTTTTGGCCATATCTCTGCCAGTTTCGTGCGGAAAACATGTTTTTTTATAGAAACATTACACTCTACTACAAGAAATGAACAGGGACTTGTTATGGCAAAATTTGCTAAAAAAAAGGCCAAGTTTTTGTTGACTTTATACTCAAAAATGTCGGAGAGTTTTGCAAAGAGCTAGCCGTCTTGGAAAACATTTATCTCAATTTGTGCCAGGTTGCGTTAAAGTCTGAGCGTCGCTACTTTCCCTGTTAATTTCTGCCAAGTCTTATCAGAGTCTGAGCATCTCACCTTGAGCTCCCGTAGTATCCTAAAGTACATTGAATCAAGAAAAAGAAAAAAAACGTCTCTGTTCCCACTTCTGACTGTCTATACTAAATCAACAATCTATCTCCACGTCATTCCGAGTATAAGTTTCCATTAAAATCATCTTTGGTATCGCTAACCCCATGACCTCCTTGAAGAAAAGCCCAGAGATAAATAACATTCACAACATCATCGCCGGCCGTACGGAAACGGAATATTCTCCCCTTCTCATCCCCCAAATATCCGAAATGCCTACAGCAAAATGAGAACAAAAAAAATTTGGGGAAAAAAGGAGCGCGGATCGGTTTTGGTCGAGAGAATTGGCCGACATTTGTTTGGCCGATGGGAGGACGAGCTGGAAATGCAAAAGTAAAAACAAAGGAAGAAATGAATTCTAGTCGCAGTCAGATTATTACGATGTTACAAATTTTTCCAATTTTTGCAACACGTGAGCAACATGCGGCAGGGAAGAGATGGTCGATCAGAATATCAGACTATCGGGAAAATAATGAGCGTAACGTCGCTGCGCCGATCACGTCGCTGAAGTGCATGTCGCTGAATCGCAATGCGATTTTCGATGCGACAGATCACTGTTCTCCCGAAGCACCGATGTAATGATCACAGGTTTGAGGAGACTGCAGACACTCAGAGAAATAAAGTTTCCCCAAACGAAAAGCGACGAAGTCTTTGATGGCTCCTTCTTCTGTTCCCCTGGTGAACCAGATCTAAATGACAACTGGTCTCATCTAAAGGATGACTGGCCGAATCTAAATGGTTTTGGTCAGGCAGCAAAAGCTGCCGCATTTTTTTCGACAACTATTTTTTTCTCTGCCTGCTATAAAATTGTAGTGGTTGTAAAGTCGCCGGAAAGGGAGGAGTTCTGCTGCGGCAATGTGCACATTGAATTCCCGAGTAAGTGCCAGAAAGTTCAAATGTAACTTCGTGCAAAGTTTCACTTCGCACGAAGTGAAACTTCGAGTATCTAAGCCTTGAAACGCGAGTAAGACCAATGGCTAATCCCTGTGTTATTCTAATATCATATCTAGACAGCAAACCCCTCAAAAATTGTTGCCTTGTCCCCTTCATCGTATTCAGTGTAACAACAGGGACTTTATTTCAAGTATTTGTGGTTTAATCCTTCAAAGGCATCCCTTAAGACTCCTGTTTCCCCGTAATTAGCGTGAAGAAAAAGGGATAATGACAGGTATGGGGTCAAAGAATATTTTCGTTCATTACTAATTACCGGTTATAGTTTGTAAAAATTTCAAGACACGAAATATATCTCAAGTGTTACTGTAACACAAGAAAACGTAGGTTGTGAAATTCAACCAAAAATTCCAATTAATATTGTTGAATAAAAAAAATCATGAAACCCCGAAGAATAGAAGCGAAAATTTGAAAAGTCACTAGCTTATTAGAGCAGTACGCAAAACTTGTTTCTCTTGGCCTCAAACTTGATAAA